ATTTTTCTTACTGCACATCCGCAATTAACAGTAATCTTAAGCTTGCAAATCTGCAATAAACATTCTCATTCATTAAACTGTGATCACATGACATTAAAACGAATCACCTGTGCGGTTACAAAAAAACACGAAACCTGTCATTCGTAACGAACAAATCATACAAACATCACTATTCTTAGTTATTTACAAGGGGAGAGCGCGAACGCAGTCCCCAGCTACCACAAATTACACGCCCCATCTGCCCCAGTTTGGGGTAGTGGCAGGAGTCAGCTAAACCCAAGTGCAATGGTCAAGCCTCACCCTGGGGAAACCGCCCTCCGGATCACGGTTATCCCGGCGCCAGGTAAGTATGCTCCATCATCTTCTCTAACCTCCTCGTCTAAAATTCTTCGGTCTTGTCGTTGGTGTTTTATTAAATATGCACGCCTTCTTCTCTAAATAAATCAGTTATTTAAATACCGTTGGAAGATTTGGTCTTTCACCTACTTTCTCCATAAAATTTTATAAAAAAGAGACGGCAAACCTTTATCACCGTCCGTTCTTATTGTTTCGATTCGCAACAGGACTACTTTAACTATTAGTGCCATCTAGTGACAGAATAGTCAGCATAATTATCACTAGATGGCAACGGTATCTACAGAGTGCACGTGAGGAATATACTGTAGTTTTAAAAACAGCATATTCCATTTTTACGAAGATTGGAATCTGTGAATGTGGTTGATTTTGAAACTAACCCCAATTTTCATCCATCCTTTTATCTATCCGTTTTTATATTTCTATTCTAACTCTTATTCCTCATTCCCACTTTCTAATTGGTCGTCACTCGTTACTAAGTGTAACGAGATTTGGACTCAGATCTCGGGATGAGTCAAAATCGACGTTTAATTCGATTCCAACCGGATATAGTTGATCTTAGGACTTACATTGTCTAGTTTTCCTTTGTCTAATTTCTAAGGTTTTTTTTTCGCTATTAAATTTAATATTTCCTTTTATGGGCATAAAAATGTTATACTTTAATATTAACAAATTTAGATATTTTTAAATTTTAGTGTGTTTCCGGGACATTTCCGAATCCTCACATGCGCTCTTCACCTCATANAATTTAATTTTATAGGAAAAAGTGGAGAAAATATTCAGTAAGAAGTTGCATGCATATAATTATATTTTAGTTTAGGTGATGCAATTTTTAAAGTACAGTTGACCCCCTATAACACAGGTTCCTATAGTTCGGAATACTATATCATGGCGAAAAAATTGCAACAGTATTCGTACAAACATGCTAAAAAACTCCTATAATTCAGTAAAATGTCATCGCCGACTCGTGTTGCGACAGGATTGCACAAACCGTTGAGTTTAAACGAGCAGCAGACCTACCAAAAACCATTTATTATTTAACATCCATAAAAATTATATTTATATTAATGATGTCTCTAAAGTTCAGCGAATTTTTCGCAAAAAAAAAAATAATTTATTGGGAAGCACGCGAGCGCCATTCAGTGACAATCTCCACAATGAAAATAAGCTTAAGCAACAGTGTAATTGACCGGTGCACACTCAGTAAGTAATCCTACAATTTTTTGTTTATAGCATAGTTTACATGGATTATTCCCAAAAAATTATACGTATTTTGGAAATGTTGAGTCGAATTAGTCTAGAATCGATTAATTTTATGGAAGAAACCTTTCAAAAAGCCGTAGTCTGTAAACTGCATACGTGCCAGGCTGTGATTGGCCGGACTCCTAGAAGCTGGATTCATAAAAAGAGGAATGTATCTACCATGTTGTAGGGGGAGGTCGACTGTATTCATGATGAATGGGTGGTACAGTACATAGGGTAATAAATCCATCATATCTTTATATTTTTCTTTAGTAATAAGCCTAGTTTTTGCATTTATAGATGATGATACTATTTTTCTGAAACTACTTAGCCTACCCTGTTTTGGTGGTAAATCAAGAGTTTTAAATTGCAAATCTTTTTCCATTGATGTTTTATAAAACAATTTACATGGCATATTTCTTGAAAATCTTATCCAGAAAATAATCAAGCAATTGACAGTTTCTCCTTCAGTATATTTTGTTCTTTTCAAAATTTCCTCCTCCAGAGGTTTGGTTGAATAGAAGTCTTCACTTTTCATTTCATGCACTAAAAATGCATTATGTTTGTGGCATTTTTGTATTAATTTGTACTCCTGGGCGACAGAGATTTGTACTCCCTCGCTGTCATTATTTAGAGTGGACTTGCCTCACCTTCAAAATCAATGGCTCATATATGTATAATGGCTATCATAAAATTTTAGACAAATGGATTGAATTAAAAAAAAATTCTTTCAGTATCAGTTTGTCTTCAATCTTAATTTATTAATCTGTTAAGGATATTAATGAATAACTGTAAAAATTTACATAATATATTGCATAGCATTAATTAATTTTTAATTATTTTCTTTAATGTCAATAACATTTTTTATTATTTTTAAATTACAGGTCACACAGCAAGAATATTAAATTTAGCAATGAGTCCCGATGGTAGTACTGTTATATCAGCTGGAGCAGATGAAACTCTTCGTCTTTGGAAATGTTTTGCCACAGACACTGATAAAAAGAAAAAGGAGATAAAAAATAAAACTGCTAATAGTGCATTGCGTCTTGCATTTAGTATGAGATAATGTAAATTAATGAACCTCTGCATCTTGCAATCACTGCATGTTTTTAATCTGTATTCATGTTTTCAATTCTTAATCATAGAATAACTTTTATAAAAAGCAAACACTATTTTTAAAATTGACTGTAGTACTAAAATAAAAATTGTGTATTTATTTATAGATGTGTATAAATTAATTGCTGCATTGTAAATAAAATATTGATTTTTTATTGAATAAATTATCCTTCTTTAAATACAATTAGTTTATTTACTTAAGAAATTCCTTTTTTTAAGGGGACAATATAAATAAAACAGAAATAATTATGATTTACTNGATAAGAATTTACTGGTATGTTTTTATGATAGTTCTGTATAGTTGACAAAAGTTAAAAAATTCATTAAAATATTTGATATTTTTATTCCACTCTCCGATTTTATATTACTCGCGGATTTCAATGTTAAACCAGTGATATTACGATTTCGTATATCCCATCTTTAAGGGGATGTAGAAAAAACGTGTACAATTCTTGTATAATGTTAAAAAATTAACTGTTACTTTGACAGTATCATTTACAACTAAATTTAATGAATGAGAGCGATGCACGAGATACAGGAAAATCTCTAGAATTTATTTTCCTTAAATTTACGAAGAACTCTATTATGGATATGACCTGATATCCATAATAGAGTTCTTGAATGTTCCTTAAATCATTTTTTTGCTCAATTGCTAAAATATCTGTATCCTCACTTTCCATCATATTCTCTTATTTATTTATACCCGTCATTCCAAAAATATTGACTGATACTACATTTAAAGCAGGGCTGTAGTCGGAGTCGTGAAGTTTTGGTGTTTTAGCCGGAGTCGGAATCGGAGTCGTCAAAAAATCCGCTGACTCCGACTCCTTTTTACTTACCAACTTGTTATGTATATAAAACNTTTAAAGCAGGGCTGTAGTCGGAGTCGTGAAGTTTTGGTGTTTTAGCCGGAGTCGGAATCGGAGTCGTCAAAAAATCCGCTGACTCCGACTCCTTTTTACTTACCAACTTGTTATGTATATAAAACGGAAAAGTATTGGAATCGTGTCAAATTTGATCCTCCAAGTTTTTTTTTTGCAAATTTACACGTTTGGAGACCTCCCGAATCCCTCAAAAAAGTCAATAAAGGAGAAAAATTCGCGCATGCGTGTGTGTTGGCGTCTAATTTGTTTAATTTCTTTATTTTCTGTTCTGAGATATTAAACAACAGTGGCGGCCTTAGGGGGTGGCGAGCAGGGCAATCGCCCGGGGCCTCGCTCTTGGAAGGGCCTCGCACAACAACCAAGTAGAAAAAAGTTGATATTTAAAACTTTTTATTTTATCCTTGGNTAGAATTTATTTTCCTTAAATTTACGAAGAACTCTATTATGGATATGACCTGATATCCATAATAGAGTTCTTCGTAAATTTAAGGAATGATTTAATGATTTAAGGAACCTTCAAGAACTCTATTATGGATATGACCTGATATCCATAATAGAGTTCTTGAAGGTTCCTTAAATCATTTTTTTCCTCAATTGCTAAAATATCTGTATCCTCACTTTCCATCATATTCTCTTATTTATTTATACCCGTCATTCCAAAATATTGACTGATACTACATTTAAAGCAGGGCTGTGAAGTCGGAGTCGGAGTCGTGGAGTTTTGGTGTTTTAGCCGGAGTCGGAATCGGAGTCGTCAAAAAATCCGCTGACTCCGACTCCTTTTTACTTACCAACTTGTTATGTATATAAAACGGAAAAGTATTGGAATCGTGTCAAATTTGACCCTCCAAGTTTTTTTTTTGCAAATTTACACATTTGGAGACCTCANCAGTGGCGGCCTTAGGGGGTGGCGAGCAGGGCAATCGCCCGGGGCCTCGCTCTTGGAGGGGCCTCGCGCAACAACCAAGTAGAAAAAAGTTGATATTTAAAACTTTTTATTTTATCCTTGGCTATTAGTTATAACAATAAAATAAATTTAATTTATAGTACAGTATATATTAATATTAATAAGTGCCTACTATTTCAATTCACATACTTTGCACAAAGGACAAGGGCCTCGCAAAGTTCTGCCGCCGAGGGCCTCGCAAAGATCTGCCGCCCAGAGCCTCGCAATGGATAAGGCCGCCGCTGTTAAACAATATCTCAGAATGGATAAAGTGTAAGAAACGAAATGTGGCACTGTAGCTTGCGTATAAAGAGGCATTAATACCATTAAATTTTGGTTCTTAATTAAAGGTCGACAGGGTGAAAACATAAAAATGGTCCTGTGTCATATCTCTTAATAAATATTTTACTCGTTATTAGCGTACAAAATTAAAAAAAAATAAAATAAAACTCGTCACTACCCTCAAAGTAAGCTTTTTTGCCATTTTATACTAGTACAGTAAAACCCGTTAAGATGTTCTCGTCTAAGACGTTAGAATGTATATGGGGACACGAGTTAGTTCGACCACTTTGACACTTAATAACTAACTCCTGTGTTAAACCATCTGACTTCGATTCTAACCACTCTGACCACAGAAATTATTAGGCTTCAAACAGGGTGAACAAAATCATGCCCCCCACACACAGTCTAACATCCACACATATAGAAAAAAACCTCGAATCTTTTGCATATCTCGAAATTTCAAGGTGTCCTGAGTAGAAAAATGTAAAAATTTGTGAGAGGTAATTTTTTGACCGAGCGCTACACTTTTCCTCTGTTATATATAACAGCCGGAAAAGTAAAAATTATCGAATACATATTTATATATTACTTAGAGAAGGCTTTTAGCTTTGGAATATAAAGTTTCTACGCTCTATCTTTATTACAACTGTATTTATTGTATATTTTATTATGAGGTCACGTGACGACATCAGAATTTCCGGGTCTCTTTCGGTAACAAATCCGCCCCTAGTCGTAGTCGGAGTCGGAGTCGGATGGTAAGGAAAAGTCGAAGTCAAAGTCGGTAGATTTTTACGCGACTCCACAGCCCTGGTTTAAAGTATTTGGCCGTATTAGTTAACCGTCAATTGTGATCACATGACATTAAAACAAACCACCTATTCTGCAAGTAGTAAATACAATAGTGATATCATGAAAGTTTCTATTGTTTGGTTATTTACAAGGGGAGAGCGCAGACGCAGTCCCCAGCTATCACAAATTACACGCCCAATCTGCCTCAGTTTGAGGTAGTGGCAGAGGTCAACAAAACCCAGGTGCAATGGAAAAACCTGAAAATATACAGTATTTCATTAGGAAATCACTAGTTGCTTTTACTTTTTATACTGTACTTCATTTTATTTTTATTCAAATTTGACGTTAATTAAACATAATATATAATTTTATTTGTGACTTTTATAATCAAGAGTATATTAGAGTATCTACAATAAATACTGTTGTATTTAATAATTTTTCTTACCGCACATCCGCAATTAACAGTAATTTAAGCTTGCAATAAACATTCTTATTCGTTGAACTGTGATCACATGACATAAAACGAATCACCTGTGCGGTTACAAAAAAATAGAAAACCTGTTATTCGTAACGAGCAAGTTGCGCAAACATCGCTATTTTTGATTATTTACAAGGGGAGAGCGCGAACGCAGTCCCCAGCTATCACAAATTACACGCCCCATCTGCCCCAGTTTGGGGTAGTGGCAGGAGTCAGCTAAACCCAAGTGCAATGGTCAAGCCTCACCCTGGGGAAACCGCCCTCCGGATCACGGTTATCCCGGCGCCAGGTAAGTATGCTCCATTATCTTCTCTAACCTCCTCGTCTAAAATTCTTCGGTCTTGTCGTTGGTGTTTTATTAAATATGCACGCCTTCTTCTCTAAATAAATCAGTTATTTAAATACTGTTGGAAGATTTGGTCTTTCACCTACTTTCTCCATAAAATTTTATAAAAAAAAGACGGCAAACATTTATCACCGTCCGTTCTTATCGTTTCGATTCACATCTTGACTACTTTAACTATTAGTGCCATCTAGTGACAGAATAGTCAGCATAATTATCACTAGATTGCAACATATACAGAGTGCACGTGAGGAATATACTATAGTTTCAAAAACAGCAAATTCCATTTTTACGAAGATTGGAATCTGTGATTGTGGTTGATTTTGAAACTAACCTCCAATTTTCATCCATCCTTTTATCTATCCATTTTTATATTTCTATTCTAACTCTTAGGCTAGGACTCCACTACCGTAAAAACGGCGTAAAATCCCCTCGCCGTAAAAGCTTTTAATCACGTGACCTATTTGCGTTTGCGCTCGGAAATATTAAATTTAATAGCGAAAAAAAACCTTAGAAATTAGACAAAGGAAAACTAGACAATGTAAGTCCTAAGATCAACTATCTCCGGTTGGAATCGAATTAAACGTCGATTTTGACTCATCCCGAGATCTGAGTTCAGGTCTAGTTACACTTAGTAACGAGTGACGACCAATTAGAAAGTGGGGATGAGGAATGTTGAGCTATGTTCAACTTTCGACAGGATTACGACCGTAAAACGGTACNCCATAATTTTATTTGTGACTTTTATAATCAAGAGTATATTAGAGTATGTACAATAAATAGTGTTGTATTTAATAATTTTTCTTACCGCACATCCGCAATTAACAGTAATTTAAGCTTGCAATAAACATTCTTATTCGTTGAACTGTGATCACATGACATTAAAAGGAATCACCTGTGCGGTTAGAAAAAAAAATAGGAAACCTGTTATTCGTAACGAGCAAGTTGCGCAAACATCGCTATTTTTGATTATTTACAAGGGGAGAGCGCGAACGCAGTCCCCAGCTATCACAAATTACACGCCCCATCTGCCCCAGTTTGGGGTAGTGGCAGGAGTCAGCTAAACCCAAGTGCAATGGTCAAGCCTCACCCTGGGGAAACCGCCCTCCGGATCACGGTTATCCCGGCGCCAGGTAAGTATGCTCCATTATCTTCTCTAACCTCCTCGTCTAAAATTCTTCGGTCTTGTCGTTGGTGTTTTATTAAATATGCACGCCTTCTTCTCTAAATAAATCAGTTATTTAAATACTGTTGGAAGATTTGGTCTTTCACCTACTTTCTCCATAAAATTTTATAAAAAAAAGACGGCAAACATTTATCACCGTCCGTTCTTATCGTTTCGATTCACATCTTGACTACTTTAACTATTAGTGCCATCTAGTGACAGAATAGTCAGCATAATTATCACTAGATGG